CAGATAGAAAAAAGGGTCAGTTCATCCCAAGTATGGTGGCCACAGTGATATCAAGAAGCTTTCAACTGAGGTGATTTGCTTTCATCACTATACATTTTTCTCTCTTCCCTCTCTATTCTGCATACATGAGGTAAAGCAGATGTCATTTACATTTTGAAGCCCACTATCCCCAACTAAAATTATGAACAATACTTTTGATCAAAGGCTAATGATTAGTTTCAGGATTTTCCATTTCCCTTGTATTTACCTTGAAACTTGGAGCTACCCAAATACTCACATACTTGGTCTCTCCCAAGTGCTACTGCTTTTTTAAACAGGTTTTCTTATTTAAAAAAAAAAAAAGATGTGCCTTTGAATCTGAACTCTCTATGAATTTAGAGATTCTTAGAAGGTCAGTAAAACCCTAATACCAAGTTCACTGGTTTCCTAGGCTATAGTTCCAATAAAATACTATTTCACCAAAGATGCAACATCTAACTTTGAAGGAAAATGGAGGGAAAAATCCCCCAAAAGAAACCTTCAGAATGTTTCTTTTATCTTATGAGTGAACATCAAGATCTGCGACATAACTGATGACAAGTGTTTCACCTCAGATTCTATATCATTTCACAGGAAAACATTGCTGATGTGAAATGCAGAACTGAAAGGTACTGTTACAGGAGACAGAAGTCTCAGAAATCACTTGTAAGATAACATTTAAAAGTTAGATGTAAAATATTCAGTGGATTTTACAAATTACGTCCACAGAAGCAACTGCAGCTATGCTAGTTTATATGTACGGAAGCCAGTAACCTTCATATGAATTAATATTTTCCCCTACAAGTTATTTCTATGAAAAGAAGATATTTCTGCTTGGAAAAATGTGTGAGGGTGAATTTCTGCTTACTCTTGCATTGGATATATTTTCTTCCTTTTAGAAGAAATAACATTTAAATGATGGTGACAAAGTTTTCTTTGTAAAAAGGCAATACAGGAGAACGGGTTGCTTTGAAGTGACGCATTATTTAACATGTTTCCAGGAAAGCAATTTTGAGAATGTTAATGAAAGCTTATTATTATACAGCTATTACTAAAAGAAGTAATTGTGAAGTTCAGAAAAACTTGGAAAACTTTAAAGTACATAGGAGACAATTTCTTTAATAGTCTGAAAGCAGCAAGGTTCTGAGACAAACCTCATGCTATACAAGGACAACAAATATATCTAGTACAACATCAGTCCAAAAACATATATCTGAAAAATACTCTTATTCTTACTTCAGAGCAGCCTTACTTTTAGGAATTGCATTCAAGTACAATGCTTCACACACCCAGAGCTATTTTATGCTATTGCTTGCTAAAGAAATTGAGCAGGTAAAAGAAACAGAACACTTCAACTAAGTTAAGGAACACAGAGAGGAGAGCCCAGAAGCACATCATACCTCTGGTAACACCAGCACTGCACAACTGGCCAGCTGAGGCCAAAAACCTGATTACAAAAGGTTCTATACAAAGACAAAAACCAAAAATTGGTTCCTGTTCATGAGAACTCTCTAATCTAAGAAAAAGGATAACATTGAGGTGGAAAAAGGCAAGGAAACATTTGATAGAAAACAATCTGAGCTTCTAATTCTGGTTAGGACTCAAAGGCATCAAGGTCTCATAAAGTTTTATAGAGGCATTTAGAAGGCCAGAAGTTGTGAAAATGATGTTTATACGGAGCTGCTCCACAGGGGGAAAAAAAAAAAAAAAAAAAAAGCATGCTTGATTTGAGAAAGAATCTGGTCAAAAGCATAAATCAACCGTTTGATAGGGAAAAAGAAGAAACAGATTAAAGCTATAAAAGGGTCTTGAACGTGAAGACATACATTTCTTGGACAAAGGAAGGAGGTAAAATAATCAAAGACACAGGCTAGGAAAATGATCTCTTAGGGAACATATTTTGAAAAGATAGAAGATCGCATGAGTAAAGGGCAAATAAAAGGATGTAGCATTAACCAAAATATATGTTGAGAATTTTAAGAATTTTACCTTGCGAACATACTGAAAAAAACAACTGTACCTTCAAAAAACAAAGACACAGCACCAGCGACTGAACACAGCTCACTGTTGAAGTTGGGGAAGACTCTTTGCCAAAACCATCCAAATGTAGCTGAGGATTCTCCTTTGGGAACAGAAGCAGGCCCCTGCCCTTTCCCTAATGCTCCCCACTGGACAGCTTTGGCCAGCAGGAAAAGGCACAGTCTTGATGCAGAACAGTTTACATCTTCATAACTAGAAAAAAACTGGTGAAGAACAGTCATTACCATTAGTCTTTCTGCTGCAAGACGCTACATCTAAGACAGCCACAAACTCTGACCAATGCAACACGCTTCTTTTGCATCATATCAGTTTGTGTGGAGTGAAGATATGACATGCTCTTGGCCTGTACAGAGCAAGCTGTTGAATTTCCTTTCACTCTGGCAGTTTACAACAGTAACTCTTACTTTCTGCTCTGAAGACACAAATATTTTAATGATTTTAGGTAACTTCTAGTTAGACAATCTTGATACACTTACCTTGAAGTAAAATAGTGTCGCTAATTCGCTTGATAGTCTACCTGCTCTTTAGAAAAATGTGATTAAATCACAATCATGGACTGAATAAAATAGATTGCCCACAGACATACAAAGAGATATTTGTAGCCTTTGATTTGCTGTCTTACATGTCCGAAGACAAGTGTTCTACCTTTGGAGTGCATCATCCACAATCTGATGTTATTTACTGAAACAATAGAATCTATTAAAAATACATATAGCTCTTTCCTAAAATCTCATTGTAAGAGATGATCTTCTTTTATCAAGTTTACCTCCTCCTAAGATAAAATATTCCTGGACTACCTCTGCCCATGACATCTACTTGATATGATATGGTAAAGCCATGATTTACCATGAACTTCAAGATACATTAGTTCAGTGGGGAATTATCTTCTGAGTCCTAGCTTCTAAAGTTGAGAGAAATCTGGCTTGTTTGGTTTTTAAAGAGATATTTGTAGCCTGTATGGCTGTAGGGAAGAAAACATGAATAAAATTTAAGCACACAAAACCTACTAAATGGGAAAACTGAAATGCAAAACCATTCTCCAGAACCAGATGACTTCTGCATGTTTGGCACTGGTGAATTTACACAGATATGATCCATAGAAGCTCTTTCAAATTCAGGATCCTTATCATCAGCCATAATAATTTTCCACATAAGATTACAGAGTGAGGCATGCACAGGTATGACTGAGTATAAACGTTAACACCTCCATGGGTTTTAAAGATAATTTTAAAGTGAAATGGTAACCAAGGAGTAGTTGGGAACACGAGGTCAGTGGAGAAAACTGTGAACTATTTTCTTAGCTATGGGTACTCCCTACTCCTGGTTCCAACCACTACAGTGTTTGGCACAACCACATACAGAAAAGCAGAATTTGCATGGTGGCTAAGGCAATTTCCTCTCAGAGAAGCAGAGGTTTGCCAAATCACACAAACAGCTTAATTATATTTTACTTATTTTTATCTGTATTTGCTCTTAGCACATAATTAATTCTATTTTCAAAATGCATGTTAATTTTGAATAAGATTCCACATGCAGATTGTTAGGGAGGTATTCATAATCATGCTCTTCCACACTGAAAAAAGGAGCCAGCTGTGGGATGAGGATTCATATTCTAACCACTGAGAGCTCATGTCTCAGCCCCAGCTGTACCAGGAGCTAGAGATGCCGACCAAAGACTGAAGAGAATTTTGCTATGGAGAATGAGAGGAGGAAACCTGGGGATGGCCGGGAAGAAGAAAAGCCCAAAGAACTTTTTCAGTTATATGCAAATGCTGCAAACATGTACCTCTCTTGTCACTTAGAAAAAAAATACATGCTTTTAAACATTTTTTTTTCCCCTGATCAACAAGCTGTAAGTATATACTGAAATGATATATTAAAACAAAAAAATTTAAAATCTAAAGAAGATCTTTCATTTTTAATATTGAAACAAAGACAAGTAGATTATTGGCAAACCAAATGAAATTTTGCTTTGATACTACAGGGGATTGCAAATGTAACTCAGTTCCAGAGATTCAAGTACATAGGTTTACACTCTTGAGGATCACACCTACAAGAGGTCAAGATTAACATGTAAATTATGTTTCTTAGGGAGGTGATAAGGCCAGGTAGCAGTGCCACTCCTATATGTAAGGTGATTGATTATCAATTTAAGCAGCTAGCAATCATATAAACTGAGCCCGAGATAATAAAGTCATTCAGAAGCTGAGAAATTTGCAATGATCTACATTTGCTTGAGAAGACATGGATACTGGCAATTTGAACTGACTGCTGTTCAAAAGTGGGAATGAAAGTGAGATCAATCTCTTTTACTTATCAGGTAGTGAAAGCTATGGCAGGCCTTTGAAAAATCCTCCCCTTACAAGTCTTTCAGCTTTTACCATGAAGAGATCATTTGGATAAGGAAGTGAGATAATCCTGAGTTGGAACTTGCAGCAGTAAGAAGATTCTTTAAAATATCCCCTCGATGCATTTTCAGAAGTCCATAAATCCAACCCTTATCTTTTCCCCATCTTCGGAAAGAAGGTATTGTGTTTACTGGCAAGAACTCGACAGGTTTGATTTAAATCATGAAATGAGCATCAAGCCTGGCACCACATCAATTCAATGTCTACAGCGTCCAGAATCATATAGAACACACTTGCCTGGTATCTGAAACGGTAAAATTTTCATAGCTGACTCTAATCTTCATACAGAACATTATGAAAATTTGTCATCCAGGAAGTATTTTTTTTTTTTTTAATAGAAACTGCGAAACAGTTCTGTTTTCATTATGAAAATTGCTTACCTAGGAAACTCAGAGGGAATTAAACATTTTTCATAATAACATTAAAGTATAAATTGGTAATTATTATTTTACCTTTAACAGATAAACTAGTCACTATGAAATTAATGTAAGCCACAGCAGCCTTACATGGATAATTACAATTTTATTGATCCATTAAGCCCAGAGTATTTTAATAACACATTCAAAAGGTTATTATTTACTCTGTAATCGTTAGTTTAGCACATATATAGCAAAAGCAAAGGAAACATGAGTTAACTGCTTAGGAATAGAGATAAAGAAAGCAATAATACGACCAATAACGTTTAAGTTCAGAAGTAGCTTGTTGAAGCTCCTTGCTGATGGGGAGCAGTGGTCACAAGGAGAGAAAGGTCTCCAGTTAAAGAGTTGCAGGACACCAAGGAAAGTCATCCATACAAGCTCTACTGGAAGAACTGGCACCCATGGGCACATCACTACCCAGATAAATCTGTTGTGTCCTCAGCAAAATAACCCCCCCCCTTAGAAGAATCCTGTGTACCACTTAACTGCATAAAACAAGCCTTCTCTGCTACCTAAATCTTGCATTGTGTTTGAGTTTGAAAGAACCACATATGTGCATACTTCAGACTTTCTATCCATCAGCAGAGACTAACACACAGCAGCACTGCACATCACCTCCCAGAGGGCAGCACAACACTCCCAAACACGGGGGAAGGGAGGTCTATAAAAATTTATAGTGTAACTACTGTTATTAATCTCAGAAAAGACCCATCACTGAAATGTTAGTCTCATTTTATCATCCAAAATTAGAACTAATTTGCTAATTCGTATGACATCCATACAGTGTGGTTTTTGAACATGTGGAAGAAAGTCAAACCATCCTCAGAGGTGAATGAGAGCAGGCGATGCGTAGAGAAACAACACTACTTGTCACTGACAGTACATGGTGGAAGTACTCAAAAGCACTTGCGGTGGACAATAGAGGGGCCAGCTTCCTCATATTCATCTTTACTAATCCACATTTGCTGAAAAGTGGACAGTGATGCCAATATTGAACCCCCAATCCAGACAGAGTATTTACGTTCTGGTGGTGCAATCATCTAGAAGAGAAGTGCAATCTGTTATAAATAAAGTGACAAGCAGATGACACAGTAAACATCTCTCTGGATGAAATAACGAGGTGAATGTCTTTTCATCATAGAAGCACAACTCCAATGAAGTGAAGCACCTCAGAGGTAGAAAGACTGTCATATTTTGTCTTCCACCTCAAGTTGATAGAGATGCTTTAGTGTTACTATAAGCAGACAAATATGGCTGCCTGTGAGATATCTGCACATGGCCCATTAACACAGCTACCGAAAAATTATTAAACATATATGAAAGAAAATGCAAGTTTTGAAACATTAACCTAATTTTGTTGTAAATAAAGACCATTGGGACAACACTACACAGAATGGTCTGAACATTTGTTTTGAGGATAAAGGAATTCTTTCACGTAAAAAAAAAAAAAGCAACAAACAAAAACAAACAACCCCAAAACATTGAGATACACTGGCATCATGTATCTAGCTAAGCTCCAGATGTAGAGCTAGAAGACCTCCTGCTAATTCCTCCCTTAGCCACTGAATTATTAAACTACACGGGCTGTACCCCTGCTCCTGCGTGCTCCTGTTTCCATTCCTGCTACTCCGTGTCATGCCCATTCAGCGTGCCAGCTGCTGCTTGATAAAAAGAGCCTCTCTGTTTCCTCATACGTTGTCTTGAGTCCAAGCCAAAAGGGACCTTTCAAATAGTGAACAAGCTGCTGGGATTTTTGGATTTATTCTTCCACCCTTTTCACTAATGACTTTCACTGATAGCTAAGCCTTGAAGCCTATAACATTCCCAGTATCTTCTGAAGTTGTTCATGACCCCTCTAGTATTTACAGCTCCATCTTCTCTAGGTTCATTCCTACCTCTCTTGTTGTTCCGTGGTGCCTTTCAAGTAGACTTTTTCTCCCTCCTAGCCCTATTTCACTAGGAATTCCACAGGACTCTCTTGCTTCACTGTTGTTTCACATATTCTCCAAATGACCTCATCAACTCCCATGGCTTCGGCAACCATTTTTATTCCAGCACTTCTCAAACCCTTCTTTTAATTCTGCTGTGGCTGGTAGGAGGAGGAGAGGTATTAATCAAACAGGCTGTCTGAGGCTCTCCTAACGTTAGGAATTGGTGTGCAAGACCTGGACATTCTCTTGTGGGCATTTTGATTTGATGTAAGATCTAACTTTCCAACAAAAGCTTCTTTTGTAAGTACAGGTGTCCAAAATTACCTTAATCTTCATTGTACTTGGAGCCAAAGCTGTTATCTCTTTCTGCATGCGATCGCCAATCCCAGGATACATCGTGGTTCCTCCAGAAAGGACATTATTTGCATAGAGATCCTTACGGATGTCAATATCACATTTCATTATACTGTTGTAAGTGGTTTCATGGATGCCTGCAGATTCCATCCCTGAATGGAAAGAAGTTTCAGAATGTTATTTCTTTGTCCCCTTCTTTTTCTTACTGTTAAAATGAAAGGAAGCCTCACTGGTCCAAGCCCTTAAGAGAACTCCAAGAACAAAAAAAAAAAAAAAGCTATGTGATGCTTAGAGAGGAAAGAGAAAGACAGAACATACTCCTCACCTTCTTTGTAATCTCAGCATAGTAATTATACAAGCTAAATACACTCAGAGAAGGAAGAAAGTTCCCCATTTTGATTTCATATTGGGTTTTTTACTTCAAGGGAAAAAAAAAGAATTAACATTATTTAATGAAAATTTAAAATGAGGTGTTACTGCAATAGTTTGCCATTTTTATAACCTTTTATGATGCTGTTAAGCTGGAACAAGAAGCCTGCTTGGCATTTCAGTGAGCTACATTGCTTTTGAGGTGTTGGTTTAATTTGACCGCCAGTACAGTGAAGTTAACTTATGGCACTATTTTTTGCTAAAGGAACAGACCAGATACAGCATTGGGAATACAGTTTGAACCTTAAGTACTAGACTTAACTGGCTTAACACGCACATTTTGACAGCAATCTCTGATCTAAGAAAACCTGATTTCCATCACTATGTTTCTGATACTGACCGTTGCTGAGCACCAACTCTGATCCCCAATACACTTCCGGAAGCCAAATCCCTGTATCTACTAAAGAGAATTTCTCTTGCTGATGTTCAAATACAAAATATTTGAACAACACTCCTGCTGATGTTCAAATACAGAACTTGGAGCTATATTAATGCTTGAATAGTTTCCTTTCTACATACAAACATAGCTAGCTTCACCATTTAGTTTAATGGAAACTGTGCCAAACTGCCTTCAGCCATTTTGCTCAGTCCTCTAGAGTGGAATTTAAGTGGAAAGTAGGAAATTTGAGGGCAGTATGAGTTACCACATAAAGTGTCAGTCATCTGCTGGATGACATGGGAATTTTAACACTGCAGATAAAACTACTGGAAAATAATGTACGATTTGATTTTGTATAATTAAATTACAGATGAATATAATAAAACTATAAATAGAAGCAACATCTAGATAAAAACCCCTACATAAGCAGCACTGTGCAGTTATTTTTCAGCCAGTCAAGTTAAAAAGCATGATCTTCTGACAGTATTCTAAATCACCACCTTAGAAACTCTACTGCTTTTATGAGGTTGAAAATCATCGCAGGATTGAGGTATTTCTAAAGTGACAGGCATCTTTTTGTCCACCAGCTGTAACAGCAGTGTTCACAGCTTCTAAAGAGCTGATTAAGTCAATAGAAGCTGCCTGTTTATAAGAATATTTGAGAATAAATACCACAGTTCCTACAGCTGAAGGTTGTCTATACTTTCTAATAAATTCTTCTTTTCATTCTCTGTGCAGTCCCTAGAAAGAAAAGTCTTGTCCCACCTATGAATGATGGCTGGAAGAGAGTTTCTGGGCATCGGAACCGTTCATTTCCAATGGTGATGACTTGCCCATCAGGAAGCTCATAGCTCTTTTCAAGAGAGGAGGAGGAAGCAGCAGTTGCCATTTCGTTTTCAAAATCCAAAGCCACGTAACAAAGCTTCTCCTTGACGTCTCTCACAATCTCCCGTTCCGCTGCAGACAGCCAACAAGTTTTTAATCAACTTACAGTACAACTAGGACACAGATTTTCTCATGCATGTTTCCTTGAATTTATGACAGTCATAAGGATCACTGGATTCTGATCTCCCTGTTATCTCAACATTACTTTCTTTTTGCATTACCAAATTTCTCTCATCAGCAAATATAAGATATATTGTACTACAGAATACTGAAAATATTAATGTTTACAGGTCTGTCACAAACCCTTGACTCCAGAGGTTCATCCGTTGCCAACTACTAACTTTGTTCCTTTGTCTGTGGAAGAGGTATGATCAAACACAACCACCTGTTAAATTTGCCAGTGACTTCGGATTTCCTAATGAGGCACCATTCTTGCCCTTGATGCTCAACATATATGCTGAAAATCAAAGCTGGGAGAATCCTGGTAGCTAACATGAACTGTTTTTCCCAGACCAAACTAGTGATAGTGATTCCAATGCATCTCCCCAGGTACACACTTCCCACATACCAGGACTGCATACATTTGCTTTGTTAAGTGCATCCAAAGCACAGCTCATTACCAGTGGTGACAAAAGAGTAGCCTCTCTCTGTAAGAATTTTCATGAGATAGTCAGTCAGGTCTCTGCCTGCCAGATCAAGTCTCATGATGGCATGAGGCAAGGCGTAGCCCTCATAGATAGGCACATTGTGTGTGACACCATCCCCGGAATCCAAAACTATTCCTGGAAAGTGAAAGAAAAGGAGAAGCTGGTTATTTCCCACTGATACAGGGTCTCCACATACTTCATCTTCTCAACTGAAACATGCAACAACACAATGAAGCTCCTCACATGGCAATTTTTTCTGTCATTTCTTTAACTAAATTGCTGCTCACGTGAGATGAAATCGCTAGCATAAACTAAGCAGCAACTGCATTTGGAGAAAAAAAGACATGTATCATTCAGCAATTCAGTTGCATTGTTCTTACTGAACAGATGCTAGCAATAATGACCTCATGGACACAGAGGCTTTCATTTCAGATGACCCTGAGCACTTTATAGACATGATATAATGTACAAACTGTAAATAAAAATCTATCTATAAAATTAAAAATTTGAATCTATCATTAAACCAAACCACCCTGTTGAGGAAAATATAACTACAGTTTTTCTGCACACAGCCATGTTACTTTTATTATTGGATAGGAAATGAAGTACATTTTTTCCACTCAAAATCAATAAAGCATTTCTGATACCAAACATGCATACAAATAGTTGAATTTTAAACATAAAACAAGTATTTATGACAACTGTAATTCCTGTAAACTGGCAATCTTTTTATACAAAATTTTATTGTGGCATCAGGCTAAGAAGACAGATGGCATTTTAATTTTTTTCAAAGTACATGAAGACTCACAGGTTACTAAGTAGTAATTTATCATCTCAATGCTTGATCAGACTCTAAATGGCAATAAGAGACCACCATGCTAATTCTAATGATTGCTTAACAACAGACATCATTAGGTGATTGAAATTCAACATTTAAATGAAATATTTTCATTTAGCTACTGAACGGTTAGTTGTTTGTTTTTTGTTTTTTGTTTTTTTTTTTTTTCTACTGGGAATGGAGCTTAACAATAGTGGTAGGTCTAAAGTAAGAAGGAACTGTGGGTTTGGAACAATCTAGTTAAGATACAGCCTCTTCTCTAAGCTGTGCAATTAAGGGCAGTATCGAACCATACCGTCTTTCATCTGTTCATGTAGTAGAGCCATAGTCACTTGAGCTTTTGAAACAGAAAGTCATAAATCGACACTCAAACCTGCCATGAATCTGAAAACAACAAAGGTTCTTGCACAGCGTGGTGGGTAGTATTCAGTGTCCATGTGGCTATCAGTTCCTCTTCATACACAGCTGGTGCATCATACCCAGCATCTCTCTGTGGGTGTGTATATGTGCATATACATCCACGAGAGGAGGACAGGGCAGAAAATACCACTCTCAGAAAGACTCACCGGTCGTTCTTCCAGATGCGTACAGAGACAGCACTGCCTGAATTGCTACATACATGGCTGGCACATTGAACGTCTCAAACATTATCTGGAACAAAGAATTTGAAAACCTTTAGGATCTACCTGTAAGAGTATCTGAAAGGACACTAAATTTTTTTTTTCTTTAATGAATACTGCCAGTTACTACTCCTGAGTCCCCCCTGAACTGTGGTTCTTCTGTGAACTATACACTGTTTTCTTTAGGATTTCCTTTTAAAATAAATAAATAAATAGAATAAAAAGAACACTGAAGTCAGTGGATGCCTTTCTGTTGACTTCAGATTACGTCAGATTTTACTGCTAATATTAATTAAAGATGACACCTTGTGATAACTTTTTCACCCTGGTGGCAGGACTGCAACAATGCCGCTATCAAAGGTTTTTTTTTTAATATATAGACACACACACACACACACACACACACACACACACACACAAAATATAGAAGACACAGTTGGAAGAAGTCACAAGAAGTATTCTGTCTATTCCCCTCTCAAGGAAGAATCAGCCATTCCTGACACAACTTTTGTTCTGTTTCAGAAATTCCTCTGACTGAGCATACGCAGATTTCTCCAGCAAACAAATCTAGTGATATACTGTACTTACTATTATGAGGGGTTTCTTGATGTCTAGCTAAGACCTCACTTGGTCTAGTTTAAACCCATTACACCTCATTCTGCACTGCCCAGCAAACACAACAGTATCTTTTCTCTTTATGGCAACCTTCACCATATTCTCTTGTCTCATCCCACACCTCTTTTACTCCAACAAACTCCAGTTCTTTCCAACTCCTGTGTCAGATACACTGCAATTTTATCCAAACAGATGGAATAACATTTGTTTCCAGCTGGACTTCCATTGAAGCTCCTCTAAAGAAAAACACTGAGGGCACACAGTGAACTAACACAGTCTGGACAAGGCTACGCGCTGTATCCTTCTGTAAACCAATCCCACCTACCCTAGGCAGTGCTACCCCGTCACTGGTGGTGCCACTGTGACCACGTTTCACAGAGTCATTTCAGTTGGAAAAGATCTTTAAAATCGAGTCCAGCTGTTAACCCAACACTGCCAAGTCCACCACTAAACCATGTCCTTAAGCACCACATCTACACGCCTTCTAAATACCTCCAGGGATGGTGACTGAACCATCACCACCGTACCCATCAGGGCCACTGACATCAGTGGGTTAAACTGAAACTTTGGATTTCATAAGCTAATATATTTGCCAATGAAGTCTACTTTTAATGAAAATTATGCTTTCCATTAAAGAATACACAAATTACTGGTATTTCATTGTTAATTAATGTAATGAATTTAATGCAATCAGTAATAAACAGTAAGCCTTTAAACAATCTTGAAAGCAGGATTTATCATTACAGTATAATGACAGAGAAACAGTCCTAGACATGTCTACTGTATGAACCACACCTCCTGGTTGTTATAAACTAAGCTTTTCTTATCATCTGTTGTTGTTTATTATCTCCCAGTTGTATTATCTCCCAGTAATGCATGCTGTCAAGCTCACTACTTAATTAGTTTATTTACACTCTTGCTAAATTGATGCATAATCTTCCTATTAAATATATGCCAAAACTGGGCACAAAGGGAAGTACAGAGCCACCGCTAAGTTTCACAGCTGATTTTATACCTATAGCTGTATTTAAATCACACTTACTTCTGCTCACATCACTGGCTAGATTTATAATGTGGACTTTTGGCCAGAAGGCTGCTCTAAAATATACAAACTTCAGAGGTCAACTTTTGGTTCTGATCTGAGTTTGCTAAATCAGACTGAGTACGTCATGGGCAGAAATGCGTAGCAAAGCATCATTTAACTTTGAGTGCTTCAAGACAACTCATTTTCCTAAGCCAGCACAAACATTTCTGGTTTTGAAGACTTTTCCCCTGATGCCTGAAGAGATGATCCAGTTGGGAGCTCCACAAAGTCACCTGCATGATGGCCTTCAAACATCCTTATTCAAATCTTCCAAAAAACCCGCACAATTCTGGTAACTAGCATTCAGTCTGATGCAGTAGTGTTGGTAAAGTGAGTCTTCAGGGTAGAAAGCAGCAGCTGGTACAGCACAAGCTGAGGAGTTGGCTACTACAAGTTGAACACTCTTGGTAGCCAGAAGTAGGCACATGAAAGGCATCACTGGTCCAAAATTCACACAGAAGTATGATTCAGCTGGTACATGACCTGTGTTACAGTGCTGCAAACCTCAGATTTAAATATATCAGTGACTCATAACTCTAGTCAAAAAAAATGACATGAATCCTGGGTTAACATTATCTACACACCAAAACTCAGCATCAGAAGCCACCCTAGCCTCCAGCTTCCCCCCTTCCAGAACTGAGCACACACACACTCTTGTGAACAAAGAAAATCTCTCCAAGTTTTCAAGATGTTAGTTCCATAAATCTCACTGCCACACACAAGTATGAAACATTTTAGGGCCATCTAGAGAACTTGTGTGAGCAGCAGACACTTCTGCTCTCTCACCGTGGTTTAGTCAACATGCTAACCCAGATTAAGAAGAAAGTTGAATTCCCAGGACTATTTCTATTTTTAGCTGTTTCCATGCAGACACGGTCTGCGGCACAACATTCAGATAATTACCTGGGTCATTTTTTCACGGTTGGCCTTAGGATTCAAGGGGGCCTCGGTCAGCAGGACGGGGTGTTCCTCTGGCGCAACTCGGAGTTCATTGTAGAAAGAGTGATGCCAAATCTAAAAAAAAATTGCTTTAGAAAAGTGTTCTGAAAATTGTTTCTTCTGTCCACAGAACTACACCAAAAACTTTTCAAATACAGTCTGAACGATTTTTTTTTTTTTTTTTTTACAAATATATTAAAATAGACAGCATGCAAGACAATCCGCCAAATTCAACTCTATTTTCTTTAGAATCAAAACCATTTGGTTTCTACTGTATGTAGCAACAGAACATAACTTACACAACGCAGTCCTTACAGTTAGGATTCCCAAAACAGAGCACAGCTCATCCCCTCTAAGCAGGAGCACTGGTTAGTTCCCACCTGCAGTGCTCCAATACAGAAGCTGAGCCAAGCACAGAACTCCTGGGCCTGGAAGACTTCTCCATCTCAGGCTGCCTGGAGACGGATCCAGTTGCAAGTCATTGCCCACATGGTCTTTGGAAAGCTAATTATTTCTGCAGAAGCGAAAGGCCCTTTATGCCACAGATGTTTCTTGCAGTAAATCCTGAATCAAACTCTCATTTACTATAGAGTAACTAAATTTCTTAGTCACAGTCTGCAAAGTACTGCAGTATGTTTTTCATGTTGAAAGGTGCCACGTGTATCAGACGATGCTGGATTTCATTGTCTGAGTACTATGGCTGTGAGGAACTGAAGGGATTGTTTTTCTTGATGCCAGCTCAGAGACACACTGTTCAGTAACACAATTCAAGATTTTATCTTCTCATCTAATTCTTTCTTACCCTTTTAATTTTTTTTAGCTCAGCTTTGCCTGACCCAACAAGCTCATTTCTAGCACAAAACATCAGGATAGTTTTATGGGTAAATTTATTTGATTAATATCCTAGAAGCAAGTATTATTATGCTCTAAAATGAGCTTAAGTGAAAGAAAGATATTCTCTAAATTTGAGGCACCTACAAAGTCAACAACTGTCCAGAGCTGAAATTATTTAGTGAGAAAATTATCAGCCCAAAAAATAAAAAATCTCAATTCCATCTCAGTTCCCTAAAAAAAATAAAATCAGATGTTTCCAGAACTGGGGCTTGGGATGCTGGGCCATCTTCCATTTGAAGGTTTAGCATACAAATACAGGGAGAAGTTGAATAAAAGAGAAAGTAATAATATAAAAGTTTCTTTAAAATATACAAATCAGATATAAGAAGAAAAAGACTGCCATTTCAGACAGGAAAGAACTCAAGAAAGAGAAGGAAACCTCGGTGCTTACAGAATTAACAAAGTACTGGCAATTTCAGCAGCGAGGAACAAACTCAGACTCATAAAGCAGGACCCTGCCTAAACCTCAGGCAATTTGCAGGTTTTTCCTCAAAACCAGGCACAATTAGGCACTGTATAGCCTGTTAGAGTTGACCTAATGATAACCATAATGTTAATGGCTAATGGTATTCTACAAGAACCAAAACTAGTTCAGTGTTAGATTTATAAGTCATGAGAATTAAAGGTAAGCAGCAAGCACAATAGCAAAGAGAATTTAGTAGGGAAGAATTATTCCAACACTTGTATTAAACATTTGCATAGTCACCAGAGCCAGAAAATGCTCCATCCCAACATTTTCCCTCCTATACACTGTCAGCTCAGTTGCGGTGAACAAATTAACAGTGATGTATAATGCCCTGTATTATTACCCAGCAGAAAACAGAGCAGTCCCAATTTGAATATTGTGAATTGAAGCACAAGAGCAGAAGAATGCTCTGTTTCATTGCCTACGTGTTCTCCTCCCCCATTCACACCAGTGCCTGTGCATCCTGCCGCATCCCCGCTCTCGCTTTCTCTCGCTCACATGCACACTCAGCCTAATCTTTCAATGACCCTCCTCTTTTTATAACGGGGTGGGGGGCACTGCACTATTATGCCTTTGTGCTATTTTTGGCACGTTACCCAGTAATTCTCTTGTTTCTTCTACATTGTGATGCTTTCAGTAGAGTTCTTTCCAAGTGTTAGAAAGAAATTCGTGGTTCAGATCAAAATCATGCAACTGGTTTAAAAAATCTTGGGGATGAAAAGTATATAAACATATACAAAAGATATTCCTTTAGCAGCAAAACTTTAGCGATTGCATTTCAGAACTTCTCTCAGCCAGAAGAGAGAGAGAGAGACTGTGTGTGTGTGTGTGCATGCCTGTTAGAGAAGCCTGTGTATGTGTGCATGTATATATATATATACAGGCTTCCCTCATTCAATTATATGATATTTTAATAACATACATATTTTATATATAAGAAAAAAAGCTTTTTTTTTTTTTTTAATATTTACAATAATCACAACAGTTTGCAATGCTGTTACTTGTCTCTTCCCTACCACTGCCTTTCTCTCATGCCTCTTTTTTGTATTTGTTGCTCATTGTTCCTTCACTTGAAAGCAGCCCTCGCTCTGTCCCACTCTGCTCCTGGGCTCAGCAAGATGTCCAAGCACAGCTCAGAGCTGGGGCATCTTTGCCAGCTCCTGTATGTTGCCAGCTGTCTGTCAGAAGGTAAGTTTGGGCAAGGCACCCACTTTCACAAGTAATTCCTTCACCCATTTAAGTAACCAAGAGAAGTTCAAACTACAAGAATCCATACAGTATCTGACCATTATTTGAATTACTGCACTGCCTGAAGCCTCCACCACACTATATCCTAAAAAACACTCCTAGACATAAGATTACACTACAGTAAAGCACATGCCACCTTTTTTACCTTCTCTAATTCCTTCTCCTATCTGGATTTTAGATAGTCTGCTCTAGTATCCAGCATTACGCAAAGAAAGAACACGTACCAGTGTGTGTGATACGCAGGACAATTTCCAGATGCAAAGACCAGTCACTGAGGGAAGAACATAAAATAGTGACCTCCACTTTTATTTTATTTACCTTTTTTTTTTCCCTACAAGGAAATATAATTTTTTGCTGCATGCAAACAGCAGGAAAATCATCAGGAACAACATAAGGGGACGTATAAGGTAGACTTCCTACGCTGCACAAATGAGCAAGGTGTCCTCCCAGCAAGCAGTGCAGTAATGAAATGCAAATACTATGCTTCCATCTAGAGGAGTAGGTGGGAAATTTATTTCCAAATATTAACTGGGGAACTCCCATTGCTTCTGTACCAACTTCGGTATGTTCATCTGGAACATTCTGTGCTTATCAATTTGTGCTCATGAATTTGTCACAATAACTAGCTTCAGACTGAATATTATAGTTGTATTATATATAATATATGTAGTTATATATATATTTAGTATTATAGTCATATACACCTCATCTCAGCAAGTCTGAGTACAGACGACCACCAGCCCCACGTCTTCCTTTCAGTGGCATTTTCCACAGGAAAATACTACTAGAAACATTTGTTTGTGGAATTTCCTTCCCATACCATTCCACCTGAAGATGACAAGGGACTGAATTACAATCCTGTCTTTAAAGGAGAGCTACAATATTTCCATATACGGACTCAGATGCTTCCTGAAGAGACCAGGACCTAGGGGATATCAGAGATACTTAGCAGAGTGAGAGTGCCCTTAGGACTCCTCCTGCCCCTCCAGCATCTGCCATGAGCCTGCACCATCCTTAAGTGAGCATTTCACAGAGGTCATTGCACTGACCGCAGGCAAGAAAGTTTGGCTTGATAGGGAATAAAGACACCTTCTCACCATCCAGACTTTAAAAGCTAAGTGGAACTGGCAACAGAAAAACATGCTTCAGGAAAAAAAAAAAAATCCCACTCTCAAAGAATTAGTATAGGGATAGATAGCTCCAGTCTGTCTTTTCGTCTTTAAATGACAGTGAGAATGTCATATGTAATACAAGATGTGGCCATCACCCATCATCTTCATGTAGGCAAGTACTGAGGAGGGAAAAAATCACCCCTCCACCTCACAGTTTCTGTTCCCAACTTCAGTAATGTATCTTTAATATTTCTCTGATTGACCTCTGATGAATCACAACCTGGTTTGTTTTCTTTTTTACGTTAAGCTACTTTCTATCATTATCAAACATTTTGCCTCAGCATGAACTTCAAGACTGAAAAGAGTATGTGTAAAGCATAAAATACTTTTATAACATACTGCCAAATCTGATGACTAATAAGCATTTACTCTTTAAAAGTAAGTCCAGAAGCGCCAAGACCCGATCAACTCCTGTGTTAGCATCCTGTACTATCCTTTTACATATACTGCAATGACGTATTTTTCAAGGATTTTCCCTTTGGTTTCCAAGAAGGTTAATGGCAAATTGTCTGTCTTGGATAAGATGATGCCTCAACAAAATTACATTAAAAATAAACACCCACCTTTTCCATGTCATCCCAGTTAGTGATGATTCCATGTTCAATGGGATACTTCAGCGTCAAGATCCCTCTTTTACTTTGTGCTTCATCGCCTACATAGCTGTCTTTTTGACCCATTCCAACCATAACACCCTACAAAGTATATTATTCTAATTACTGCAGTGTATTATGCACATTAGAGACAGAGCATAATTCTTAAATTATAATCTCCCTTGATTTACTTTAGCTATATTCAGGTGCCCTTTCCATCTAGGAAGTTCCACTATTGCCTTTAAACGGTGAGATTCTCCCTTGCTCGAAGTCAAATGGTTTCAAAAAATACATATTTTGCAAAAAAGGCATTTATTTATATAAAACAGAGAAGGATTTTCTAAAAGAAAATTCACTTGTTAAATAATAGTTTTTCTAAGTTCATCATGTTTGCACTAGGAAGCTTACCACGGTTGCCCCAAATAATGTAACAACATATGAGGTAAAATATTATTCATCAACTAACATAAAAATATTTTTCTCATAGATTCATTAATTCCATGGATCCATTAATACAGCTGCTGGCTGCTGCATTGTGCAAAATTACATGCCAAAAGACAATGAACAACTGGGGAGATTAAAGAATGGATGTTTTCAACAACTGGCATCCATCTTCAACAATTCATAGCGGTGTTCAAAATGCATTACTCAAAATGTTTAGTATTTTACACCTGTCAAACCAGGCTTATGGTTTGAGCTTTAGCTCGGCAAAAGAACACACAGAACTTCAGGGAAGGGTTTTTAACAGCCTAGAAAATTAAAATCTGATTCAGATATTAATAAAATTAACAAAGAACTGCATCTTCTATTTGTAAAGGAACTGTTAGAAAACTAATTAAGCAGAAAGACCCTATTCAAGGTCAGTAAGAGCCACATTTATCCTTTCCAGTCTTGAGTTGATAAAGTGATATGCTATAGACATTTTTGGGGAGTTTACTGGGCCATGCTGCTGTTAATAGAGCAAGAAAAGCAACTTATCACTATTATTCATTTGGTTTCTCACATTAACAATGTTCTGCCTATCTTTTTTCTTTGTATTGATATAGAAAATATTAATTAATCCAACAAGTTGGGTTATTTTTTCCCATAAGACACCTTCATGTTATTAAAACACTCATGTTCTTCTAGAGAATATTTTATGGCTGGAGAGCACCTTTTCCAAAGGACAAAGAAGTTCACCTCATAGTAATAAAGATGTGCCGCTCAATCCTCCAGCTCCCAACGAGCTAAACTGTTACAAAGGCTGATGGGAGTTTTGCCTGAATAAGTCTGATGCTTTCCCACTGCCATGTCTAAAGTCTCAAAAAAAAACCCCAAACCAACCATCCAAACTGGACAACACTTTCATTTTGGCACCAACTGACCTGATGGCGAGGACGTCCAACGATGGATGGAAACACAGCTCTTGGAGCATCATCTCCTGCAAACCCAGCTTTGCAAAGCCCAGAACCATTGTCACATACGAGGGCAGTGGTTTCGTCATCGTCACACATAGTGCCTCACAATTTTTGGCTGCAAAACAGTAATTTGAAAGGGAGGAAGCAGATGGAAGGGAATAGGACAGAAGTAACTCTCCATCATTTGGAGACCAAACTGCTGCCAGAAGAACGATTTTGAAAAAGAATAAACCTAAACAGCAAAGTCTGTGCTAAAGCCCTGATCTTGCAAAGCATGTGAAGTATCCACATAAATTTCAGCTTGAATAGGTTTAACCAAAGTAAATTAATCAGGACACTGAGCCTTTGCTTCCAAAAGGGAAATCTCCTCTGCTGTAGCCTCAAGGGGTCCTGTGATATGTGTTAATTGACCTCGTGACCATGGGACAAGTTCAGCTAGAGGATACACATTCAGCCCTACTTGGACATAAGCAAGCATAACCCCATCTACTTCAAGGCTGAATTATCTTCTAGAAATTTAATTTGTTAAAAATTAATTGATTATATGCACTTACCACTTACAATGTTAGTAATTAGATGGTAAATAAGAATCCCCAAACATTCAACTACTTCAAAGATTGCAGTTGGTCCCTGGTGGCATGTTTAAATTTTTTTTACTCTTAGAGGGTCATCATCAATCTGAAACAACCAACTAAAAATAACCCCCATCAAAGCTTCAGGAAAGTGTTTGCTGTGTGTTTTTAAATGACAGCTCCTCTGTAACGTGACTTGATCACTGCAGGAGCTATTCCATATTTGTAAGTGGTAAATACCTTATCGAAGTGGTTATTCTGGGAAACAGAACAAGAGGCAGCTGGCACAACTGCCCAGGAACACTCAACTTCAGTAGTTGGCCAACACATCAGACAAAGTCCCGAACTTGTTGAAATTCATGGCAAAACTCCCACCGAGGGAGGGCCTGAATTTCACCAAGACTCCTGTTTCAGATTCCTTGGTTATTTTTAGGACTACACGATTGCCTCTTTAGGCAGTTGAGAAGAGGGAAGGATATTATTTTTCCTTCTCTGGCAACTTCACTCGGTAAGGCAGGGTACTTCAGAAACAAGAAAGGAATGAAAAACAGCACTTCTCCAGCAAAGTTCTTGTCCCCAAGAATGCAAAAATGCATTAAGTATCATTTTTGTAATTAATGCAAAAATGTCTTTGGCTTCTGATGGCATTACAGTTCCACCTAAGGGCTATGTGCACGGGCAGCCCAGGAGCGGTGGCAGAATAACCACCAGCTTTAGGGTCTGCCCTGCAACCAATTCACATTGTCCTATTTGTGGAGTTCAAAATATCTCATGCTGTTCAGAGGATCCCTGCAAGAATACCAATGTCCCCAGAGATTTACAAACAGGAACAGTTTGGGGTTTTAAAGTTTGAGCTGCATGAAGTTCCTTGTGTTCAATCCTTTCCCGTATGCTTTACAAAGCATGACTGTGACATGACTGATCCCAATGCTCACAGGTGATATGGAATAATTCAAAACAATCACATTATTTTAAAAAATAAAAATCCTTTTAATTCTTGTTGATGTGCCTGTGACTGGAAGATTCTTTTTCACATAAAGAAGCAAAACAATTTTATCACATAAATTTGTTAACAGCTTTAATATAGGAATGTTTAACCACTAGTTCTAGTAGCTGGTATTTTGGAACATTCATTCATGTTGCCATGAATTGGTATTTTCTTCTAAAACCCTCAGGAAAAGGCTTTTAGAATGCAATAAACCAACCATTTACCAGCAGTATCCAACATTGCAGAACTTCACTCAGACTCCAATTCCATCCACATAAAATGAAGGAAACTCCATTCTTACATCCATCAGAAATGACATCAGATGAGATACTAGCATTTCAGAGTAGAGAATTTTAAAGTAGAGAAATGCTGCAAAGCTCTGAGGGCTCAGAATCACTCCTTGGCTCTACAGAAAGCTGGATAGGACTGAGATGTTTAATCCTCCATGGTAATCAAGAATATTCCCATTCACTCATACACACAGCATTTTATATATAGCTTTACATGCAAAAGTAAGGTCGGTACAGCCGTACTCGGAGAAAGAAAATTCAGAGGGAAACCCTAAATCTGTACCAGCCACATGTTGGAGTGCTGGCAGCGATTGTTTACCGTTTTACTCACTATTGATTAGATTCCAGATGAGCCACCGACCCTCATTAATAAAATCAATGGCTGAATTTGTTTATTTCCCATTTTTTTGAAAAAAACCCAAACTTATCTTGCTTTGCTTATCATTACCTAATTACAATGTGAATGAACTAATAAAGAGCACTACTTAAAATTTGCATTGACTGAGTCATGTTACAGCTTTACAGCTGCTGAATTTATAGGTTTAAGAACCATTTTCACAAAGCAGCTCTTTGGAAATCTTTTCAGCAGATCAAGTTCTGAAATAAATTTCCTAAATTTGCTTGATTATTGGTTTCAATTTTTATTTTTCTAGTTCCCAGTGCAAAACTAAATAATACTAACAGAGAACTTCCTTTTTGGTTTCTGCATAAGGCCCGATGTCCAGACAGCAAACACTAATGAAGCGTTCTTCCAGGTTTCAGACAGGCTAAGGTTTCATCGCACACTACTGATCCTTCCAGCAATGAACATCTGCATTGTTCCTTGTGACCCTGCAGTAAAACCTGAATTACCTCACACCAGGAGACCCTCTGGAATTCCTTCACCTGTGGCAAACAGCATGCAAGTCCACAGAGAAGTGTTTAAATCCCCAAAAGATCTCAGACCAAGTGAAGCAAAGCGTTAAAATCATGAACTGTAACATGAAATAACTCTCAGGGTAATACTCACCCAGGAAATAGTGATTTCTAGAAGCCTCTTTGTAAATGACATGATCTCACCTTCTATTACATTTATATCAGCTTCTGGAATGGAGTTCACAGAATATCTACACGTGTCAAGCCATTTTTGGAAACTTTTTTTTTTTTTCTCTTTTCAGTTCGCGCTTATCACAGCAACAGCACAAAAGCCTGGATAAATTAGGGCAGACTTTCTAACATCTCTGGATCCTTTCCCACTTCCTAACTTGCTATGCCTCATGACAGAGGGTTGTTTCCAACCCTCAAGACAAAAATCCCTCACACCAGATGAGTAAGACTGGAAGGACTTGAAGTTCCACTGTTGTATTTGGGAAGCATTCTGCTTCCTTATAACACAATTAGCTGAGAATAGCTCATTATCATTCTGTTAACACCTATCTTCAAGCTGTAAAGGGATGAGACTTACCATGTACAGTACTCCTGTTTCAACTGTACCTGGTGCTTGTTTGTGTGGTGCAACACTGAAAATAGCTGACTTATCTCAGTACTGGGGTGACACTGTGGCTCAAAACAGGGACTGAATCAGCAATCAGCCATCCAAAAGAGATGAGCCACTACCATTTAATAATAAAACAAACAAAAAAAATTACATTGCAATATATTGGATTTATATAGAAACTCAGACCTTTACTAGACTAAGAAATATTAAACAACCATCAAAAGAAGAAAGCTTACAGGATTTACCTACAGTGGTAACTACAACTGGCAGTGTTTCCTATTCCACATGAGAAAAAACAAGTGATGCAGAACATCAGGTGCAATTTGGTAAATGTTAACTCTGCAAACATAAATGCCAACCGATCTCTCTTTCTCATCTGTCACAGGACTGCACAGCCAACCTTGTATACAAGAACCCTTGCACCTTAAGCAGATAATTCACTTCACTAACATCTCTTCAGTCAGCCTTGTATCTGCCCATCAGTAAAACTGATGGAATCCTATTTCCAGACTCATTAAGTTTTACTTTTCCCCACAAGATTTTTAGGATTTTAGCCTAGCAGACAGAAAATCAAAACAGCTACTACTTTTCTGTGGCTTTATGTCTACTCCTTTACACTCAGCTTGCCTGGATTTTACCTTCATTTTATTCAGAGAACAAACACCAACAAACAACACCACAGAGTGTAAAAACAACCTTCCAGCTTCCAGTGGCCACAGTCTTTACAAATATGCTACTTTTTGAATGTGACAAATAGATGTGCAATTTCAGACAACACTTCAACAAAACATGGATGTATTAATATGCAATGTGTAACGCTGTTACATGTCTACAGAAACTGTATGCAAATCTTGCTTCTTATCGCCTCTTAGTTGAACATGTACCCTTTATTCATCTGTACCTTGAAGCCCAGACATGTAAAATATGTGAAGTTATGTCTTTATAAGCTTGAATTTCATGTGTTGAGCAGCTGAATAACATTTTCCCCCAAAGACAGGCTGTAATTAAACCCATCAAGACAAGAAGCGCAAGGGAATTAAAAATTAAAACAAACACAAGAAAAGTTACAGAAATCACACCTTTAAACAACTGTAAAGGAATAGAAGTTGAAGACATTTCTTCATCTCAATTCTGAATCTTTAATCATCGGCTCACCTCATTACCACATACATATCTGTGCACCTTGTCATAGCCATTACAAACTGTATGGCCAAAGAACAACCTTCTTAATTCTTTTACTTTCAGCCAAAAAGAAAAAACAAACAAACAAAAAAAAAAAAACCCAAACTGAAAAATCCAGTAGTTCTTACTTTATTGCACTCTATAAAACTTCTTGTTATAATCAAGAAGCCAATAAACAGTAATAGCTGAATATTCCTTTAAAATTTATAGTTTAAGTCTTAAAATAAAATTTGTATAGAAAAGATATCATTTACAACCCATTCAGTAGTAATCATTATGTACTCACAAACGATATTAAATAACTTGTATGCAGCAGTTTCTTTATAGGGCAGAGGGGAATATTTTCTCCTTAGCAAATATAATATTCCACTGTTAAAGAGCAATTCAAGTCAACTTTGGAGCAACTGTGATATACACACATTTCTTTTAAGAAGCTCAAGATTGATGTAGTGTAACAAGAATATATACAACTGTGTCCAGTGCATAGCTTAACAGCAGCATGTGAAAAGTCTATTATCTTGAATTGGCACACCATTACCTACAGGGAAATAATTTACCCAGAAAAATGCAGTGTATTCAGATAACACCAGTGAGGCACAGTAAAACAACAAGATGTAGTGTAACTAGGTATGTGAGGAATAAATAGCGGGATTTTGCTCTGGAGGTCAGCAGCTTAGAACAGTAAAGGCTTCGCCCTCGAAGCCATCTGCGGAAGGAAAGCGCTCCTCCTTTCATCTGGTTAGGAAAGAAAATACAGCAAGTAAGTAATTCATGAATACAAATGAAAAGAAGCTCCACTGTAACTTCGATTTCTGAGGCACTATAAAACTTTTGCCTCTGACGCAGCAATGGATGCTGCAGCACAGGCTGTAAGCATGAATGATTTAAAGGTCAAAGAAAACAGCCTTAAAAAAAGGTGAGAGGAGTGGATACAATGTATTTGTGTATTGTGTAATTATATATACATACTAGAGATGAAAATGCATAATTATATGCATACACGTTTTATGTAATGGCTATATGTGTAATATAAATATGATTACTCACATTTTAATTTGGACATATGTAATGTGTTCTATGGCATGGTTTACACAGCTGCCTGTACTTGACTCACCATCCACAGCCCAAACAGAAAGAAATTAAGGACACTTTTTCAGTAAAATGTAGCTTCAGTAGTAGTTAGCTACTTTGAATGGCTGCCTCTGCGGCCCACCCATCCTCATGATACATAACACAATAAAAGAGTACTTCACAGTCAGCTTTTCAGAGGCAAGGTGAATTAGACAAGTAGGTGCCTCATGCCAGTGTTGACTGTATGAAGAGGACAACCCCAAATCAGTGACTTTCAGTCACCCAGAAGGGAAATCTGCACTCCAAGAATGAGTGAAAGGAATAACAGAGGGAAGACAGAAAAAAGAAAGGGATATAGCATGAAGGAGATGATGAGCTGTGCCATCGTCAATCTAGTCTGCAACTAGTAGCGTACAATTTGCACACCACTTAAGTAGTTTATAATTCGGGGTTCTAAAAGCTTTCATTTACTTACCTTTCGCACAATAACATGTTCACTAGGATCAATGATTAAGGCTTCCCTTTCCTCCTCAGTTTCCATGTGAACAGTGTATTCACTAGGTGCAGACCTGTAACTGCTTACTTCAAATCTAGAGAAAAATTAAAGGAAGACAATGAAGTACTAAATTATCTCATCTTTTAAAGTGCTGAATTCACATAAGAAACATTATTTTGTATACTGACATTACCGGGGGAAAGCCCCCACAAAAAGCAGTAAGAGACTTAGTTTATGTTGCCAGGTCTTTTTCAGTCCCTATTTATAATCTGCTCTCAAGGTGTTCCATTTATTCAGAATAACCCCCATCATCGCTAGCTGATTGAATAATGATTTTCAGATGATGGTAGTGATGGACACTTTATGTAGGCAGATGGATAATGGTATTTTAAATCTAAACAGTGGCTGTGCTAAAGCTGTTAGGTGTGACATTTGTTTTTCTAACTTGGAAAAAATGAAATATCACTGATTACTGAGTCCAACATCTGAAGCAAGAAATTAAATCAAGACAACAAAATAATCCCAAAGCCCCTAACATCTTCTTGATCCACAGAGTTAAAACTAGCTTTTTAACACAGTTACACTTGCATTTCCATTGCTTCAGGTACTGTGGACTCACAAACAGGTTCTATTATTTGTTTGTTCTGTTTGTTCTATTATTTGCTCAGATATCTAACACCCATAGGAGAACCTATCACTAATCTCACTAAAATGAAAAGGCAAACAAAAAATCTGACACTCCTTTTTCCAGTTCTGTAGTACACTTTGCATTTACTCCAGACAGAGTGTAAATGAAAACCTCACCATGCATTTGTCCAAGGGGAAGCAGAAGAAAAGATGGCTTTGGTTCTCTGATCTTGCAATTTATTTAGAAGAAATACGTTTTACAGATGCTTTTCTTTCAAAAGAAAACAACCCCATGTTTTACAGACAGGATCACTTTACCTGTGCTCCTCAGAGAGTCCAAGAGCCTCTTCTGCAGCTTCTCTCCTCCTCTTCTCTTCTGACAGTGTTTCTGTCAGCTGCGAGAGCACCTGCTGCACTGAATCATATTGTTGCTCAGTCTCTGCAAGCCTATGACAAAATGAAATCCAAAATCAATATTTTAAGTACTTAAAGAATTACTTTCTTGTTCTTTTTTATTAAGGAATATTCTTTGTGATAAAGGGTTAAGCATGATAAGACTAAAGTATGAGATGCTTTAGATTAGATATTGAAATAAAGGCACCAATAAGTATGTATCTTTACAAAAACAATCCACAATTAGTACCAGATGATAACAATTCAAGAATGATTAATTTAATCTACTATAAATCCACTTCTTCCCCTTTTCCCCCAAAATGCCCTAGAGGGATAGAAAAGCATTACTTTTGCACTTACAACACACCTATCAGGAAAACAATATCACTAATACATGCTCTCAGTCCTGACCTTTTTCTGAGTTCATTTAGCTCCATATTGTCGATTTCAACAATAACTGCAGATCTTTCCTGGGGTGCTCCAGGGGGAACTTCTGCTCTAGTTTGATCCTAGAAAATATTAAAAAGGGAAAAAAAAAGCCAGTCACCATTTTTCTAATCGCTAAAAATTTTATTTCAATTAAAGTAGCCATAAGCATCACAAAGCTGTGGAACAAACAACTCTTTGTCCCATTTAATCTTTTAATTTCTGAAGCTGCAATTTTCAGAACCTGTTTTCTAACAGAAAGTCGATGAAGAATACTGCCTGTGTGTGCTGCAGGACTTGAAGGATGTGTGTACGCTGCATAGCACAGCAATCTCTCAACAACTTCTGAAGTGAAAGAAATACATCCACACATCCACGGAGTAATATAGCACTGACCACAGTTTCATAAGTAATGCAGCTAA